CAGTCACACTCCGCAAACATGCCTTCCGATCTGGAGAGAACGATGGAGACCCTCATCACCGTGTTCCACCGCTATGCGGACAAGGACGGAGACAGCAACACGCTGAGCAAGAGGGAGCTGAAGGAGCTGATGGAGAAGGAGCTGTCCAGCTTCCTCAAGGTACCACTGCCCGCGCAGTCTCCACACCGCCCTGCAGGGGGCGATGGCGTGCGGCCGCGTCATATAGTGAAATATCTTTAATAATAATAATGTTTCTTTATTAGCCCTATACAATTTCTTGCATTAGGAATTCATCTTTTCGCATACCCCAGCATTTCTCCATGGAGACACAGACGGGGAGAGAAGCTTGGGGTCAGAGCGCAGGGTCTGCCATTGTACGGCGTCCCTGGAGCAGTTGGGGTTAATAGAGAGCAGTTGCTCAGGGGCCCAACAGAGTAGGATTCCTCTGCCAGCCACGGGATTTGAACCGGCAACCTTCCAGTCACAGGCGCAGATCCTGAGCCACAGAGCCTGGGGGTATCACAAGCCTGGGGGAGGCTAATCAGCGCAGTGCTCACGAGGGCTTTGACACTATACAGGGTGAACCCCGACGCCCTGAGTTACACAGCGACGCTCTGACCCAGTGCAGGACACAGTACAAGCCCTGCTGCTCTGTTAGGGATTGAAGTGGCCGGTGCGTCTGACCCATCTTGTTCTCTCTTGCGCAGAGTCAGAAGGATCCCGGGGCCATCGACAAGATAATGAGGGACCTGGACCAGAATGGGGACGGCCAGGTGAGCTTCGAGGAGTTCGTGTCTCTGGTGGTGGGCCTGTCCATCGCCTGCGAGCAGTGCTACCAGCTCCACATAAAGAAACAACAAGGCAAGAAGTGAGACCTGGACCCCTCTCCCCTCCACTGTAACAAACAGCTCCCGAATAAACACTGACCCGAAATAAACACTGAGTCCTGGTCTGTGTGTGTGTGCTTGCACGCACGTGTGTCTGCTCACGATTATGAGCTTGCAGGTACGCGTGTCTGCTCACGATTATGAGCTTGCACGCACGCGTCTGCTCACGATTATGAGCTGTCTCATGTATGTCTGTGCCTGCTCTCAGGTGTGCGCTCACATTTTCAAGCTTCTACGTGCGTGCTCACGATTACTTGTCCGTGTGCTCCAGAATACACGCTAGCGCTCGTTTAGCGTGTGTGCTGATGAATACGAGCTCGTCCATGGGCGCGGGTGTTTATTTTATTAAATAAAATACTACCGTTTATTTTATAACCCAAGATGGCGTCAACTTTAAAGTGTAACAGTGTCAAACTGCCCAGTGATTGGAGTGACTCGGTTCTGCCCCTTGGTCCACCTACTCCTCAGACTGCGCAGTAACTGAGTCCCGAAGGTGTACAAGACAAAGCTCTGCTCTTTAACGCACATACTGTAGGTACTGCATAAATAGTCTGACTGCTGCCCTTTGAGTCTGAAGGCCCTGGACTCCATAGTTCCATTGGCCAGCAAGGTAGGGGATCACTGCAGTGAATTGCCATCAGGGGTAACTGGATGATGCTTGTTATCAGCGCCCCCTTCAGGCGGGGAGCCCAGAGGGTAGCGCACCAGGCAAACCAGGAGCCCTACACACTGAGGCACGGCCAGGGCCTGGGATCGGGAAGAGATCCTGGCCTGCCCTAGTAATTTGGGGAAAACCGGATGTCTGAGCTCGCTGTCGGGCTGTGTGAGACCCCCGCCCCCCCCGAACCCTTCGCCTTGGGACCGCTGTGGGATGAACTCAACAGCAACAAAGCGGAAAAGCTGTTTCCAGGGGGGGAGAAACGGGAGTTCGGAGAAGACGGGCCCTAAGTGCCTCTGGAATTCCGACAATGTGGGACAAACCGCACCGGTGGGATTCCTCCCGACGTGCAGGCGCAGGTACAGGAAGAGGAGCGGCTCTCGGCTCCCGTCTCTCGGCTCGCTCTCCCCTCCAGGGAGGGGTGTGGGGGGGGGCGAGTCCTGCTGCAGCACCAGTGTGAGAGGTTTTCCACTTCCATGTGGATTTTTTGCCGGGATCACCCCCCCCCCCACTCCCACTGCCACTCCTGGAGGAGAAGGAGACTGCTTCCACACGGGAGTCTCTTTCAGCTCCTGCAGTCTCGTGCCTTTCAGGTTCAGAACAGAAAGTCTTCTTTGGTGGAGGAGGAGGAAGAGTTTTCGTTTGTCTTGATCTAAATTTCACGCCTGCGTTCCTTCACACGCCTTAAAACAACAATGAGAGACGCAGACAGTGTCTTTGCCTTTCTTAACACGAGTGTGTCGTGGTAAATCCGTACACAGTTTGTAGATTTTAGTCCAGAGATCGCCAGTCCGGTCTGGGCCGGGTCACACTGTAACCCTACAGTCCAGAG